ATAATAAATGAGAGTAAATTGATGTATATTGAATCTTGGATGAGTCATGTGATTGAATGATACACATGTTATGTGTTTGAGAATGTCAAGTACAAGAAAAACTCTGCCCAAATTTTGTGTTGTTGTGATTCCGGTAAAAGGGATGTTTTGACATGGCATAGGGTTATGCGATATTGACGAATATTTTCGTGGGTTAATAAATGATCAACAGATTGACAAAAGACCCCTGATTTTAGGGGCATCACATAAGAAGTCATATTAAAAAGTTCCATTAGGAAGAATTTTCATTGAAGAGATATTTTTATCGAGCTATTAATTCCTCCCAAAAAAATCATTCTCTACATAATTATTCACCCCAGTTGAATTTTGTATTCCAGGTACCAAAAATAAGGAAAATACTATATAATTCAAATTTGTATCCAAAATAAATGAAAATCATTGGATGAGTGGTTGGTCTCAACTTTTTTAATTGAGACCCACTGATCCAAACATTCTTATTGATTTGGGATGCACATTTGAGATACAAATTTAGAATATATAACATTGCTCCCAAAATAATGTCATTAAATTGCATCCTAATACAAATTTAATCGGCAAATTAAATGGTAACTAAATTTATCACCAATAAACTTTGTTATTTCTCCGAATTTTAAAAACATTTGGAACCGGACGTTGCTAGGCTACATATAAACACGTTGTGCATGGACCAGGTAGTTTCTCTGAAAACGCAACAGAAGAGGATGAACCTACGGTACATGGGGTCTTTCAGAACCACGAGAGAGCCACATCAATTCAGACACAAATGGTAAATGATTTAGCAAACATGTGATCAGGTACGTTGGTGCCTTATCTTTTTTCTATTTAGCACCGCTTTAGGTTGGTTGATGTGCTCTCTCTTTCTTTCCTTTTCATATTTTTCACTCACCTCTTGCGTGAAGGTTTTTAATGAAAGCAAGGTTTCAATGGTGCGACTTTGGAGCCACAAGCTTCGTGGGTATATAAAAGGTCTGGAATTCCATCTCTATCCAATTTTTGGACTTGCTCTCTATGTGGAGAAGATTTTTTTAACCTGTAATTCATAAAGGAAATGTTCGTGATGGCATTCCGCCATGTGTAACAACACGATGTTATCCATGTCCAAGGGCAGCCCAACCTAATTTGGGGCCTTCGGCAAAAATGTTATATGAAGTCTTATAAATATTTATTAAAATATATTTATTTACAAATTATTTATTTTGTCTTTTGAGATATAACATATTAATTAAATTTTACAAATAAAAATTGTATTAATCAAATAAAATACGGACATCAAATACAATGATACATACTATTTATTTAAGATAAAAGAGAAAAATAATTAAAAGATAATTTGACTAGTAAAATAATTTTTTATAAATGTATATAAAAATAAGAATTTATGCAAGTTGAGTAGTCCCAAAATAAATGCAACGCCTTAATATAAAAAGGGCAAGCTTCAAAGCCCATCTGACAGTCTCACAAATAATTTATCCAATAGTCACCAACATCTCTTTTAAATTCATTCAAATTAAATTTTTCCCACTAAATCCATCACTTTACTTACGATGCATCATGTGTTTAGACACGGATTACCCTTACTTGTTAGATATCATAGAGAAAAATAGTTATTTTTAAATAAAAAAGATAATTAGTGCATTACTTATACTCGCTCTATTTTATAGTCATATCGGGTATTGTAAACAAAGTTATTAATAAAATGACCTCAAATTTAATTTATACAATTATAAAATTATTATATGTACATATTATACGATATACAATTGATTTTAATAATAAGATTACAAAGTGAGAATATATATAATATAAATATCGGGTGAGATAAAAAAATAAGTTGAACTTTAGGGCCTTAAATTTTTTTGAAAGAGGTTCTAAAATTTTTATAATAATACTAATTGGACTTAATTTAAGGATCAAATTCGGATTCAATTCGAATTACAGATTTCATAATTAGGGTAAGCTTGAATGTAAGTCTTAACCAACCTAATCTGCCTCACTTGCACACTTACCCTCCCTAAATGTGGCTACTTGAACTCGAGCCTTATTGATATCTTACAAAGCTACATTCACGTACCAAATTAGTAGTCCGGAAAGCTTTTAACTAAGAATGTCCGCACTTCAGCTTACATATTCCAAATAGATTAATTCCGATAATCACTTTATTTATGTTTTGAAGAAAAAACATGGCATGAGAGGGGGCTCCACTTTATTTAGTATTAATTCAATGGATGGAGGTAAAGTCCTCCAATTCAAGCACAAAACTAATGTTTGAATTTAACAGTCATCAAGAGGAGGCACCACTAAGCAAGATCATGACCAAGCCCTTCAAATCTTGACGAACGAGTGAAAAACTTGACTATAATAAGAAAGAAACGAGGTAAATTAGTTGGAATTTAACTAAGCTAACGAAAAAGAAAGGCCCCTAACACTTGATAGCCACACTTAAATTTCATTACAAACTAGAATGGAGTCAAAAGGGCAATGCTCCTGCTAGACTGTCAAGACTTTCACTTGGTGGATGGTTCAACACCCAAGTGGAGGGATTAGGAAAGAACGTGATGATGCACAAAAATGATTTTGCATACCACTTGTCAAGTGTAGGTAATAAATGCAGTGAAATCAATGAGAAAATTAAAGAAAACACGATTTATAGTGGTTCGGTCAATTCGACCTACGTCCACTCTTCAATGGCTTCAGTTACCGGGTATTTTATTAATTCAAAGGTATGGAGAATAGAGATACAAGCTTTGAGAGAATGGAGAATCAAAGAAGAAGTGGTCTCCGGTCGTCGGTCTATCCTCTGTAAGTGTTGGTGGGGCGTGACCTTCATATCTAGTCTCCTCACAGATTGGGGCTACTTTATAACAGCTAAGAGATCATTCTTGTGGAGATCATGACTTATCCTCAAGGCTTCTTTATCACAGCTAAGAGATTATTCTGGTGGAGATCATGACTTATCCTCAACGGAAGGAGGAGGTTGGGAAGTTCTTCATGAAACGTGGTCAAAGCTTGGACCGTTTCCTTCGGTGGTATAGATAAGCTTCCCATGCTTTCCTCTTGGTGACGTGCTAAGCAAAAAGTCTAACCGGTCTTGGACTTGGTGGAATCAAAATTAGGTTGGGCTCCTCAACTGGGGTTGAATTTTAACACATAAATTGGACTATTTGGGCTTAACCCATCAGAATGTATAGATAAAGTAGACTATTGAGTAAGTGAAGCATGAAAACATGGTCTGGGGCACTAAAAAAATCATTGTGAGACAAATTAGCAGCCCAATACCTTGACTGCAACTCTAATTAAATACTATAGTAACACATAAAACGGGGGTCAAAACAGTTGATATAATATATATTCTCAGTCATTGTTGAACTTATTAGTGGTTTTCGGTAAATGCGTGACGTCTCAAAAATGGGATCATTGATTACATTAGCGATGGTCTATGAGAACATATTGACACGCAAAATCTTGACCAAAAAAAAATTGAAAAATGTGTTATTTTCAAGGCTATATAACACATGACTATTTTTAATATATATAATCAAATTACGAGGGATGGATTGAAAAGTCTTTCATCCATAAATGTGTGGTCAAAATGTTAAATTATTAAATTAAAAAAATTATTTCTTCTAATCAAAATCACACCCACTGTTCATGTAACCACTCCCCACTTCATCCCTCTCCTCTAAACTCCCCAACCCTGGTAGACAAATCAAATGGATTGAGGGTGGAGCGAAGGGGGTGGGGTTGGAGATGCTATTGGGTGTAAATTTATTGATTAATGCTAGATAAACTTAAAAACTAAACTTAAAAATTAGATTTGATAATTCTGACCATTGAATAGGTAGTGGATTCTAATAAATGCTATGACCTACTATTTTTTAAGTCCATATAATATTGCTTAAATTCATTACGTCACACATGTCCATCACTAGGAAAGTTTTTTTTAACATTTTATAGCATTTGTATAATATACTTTATGTAAACCCAATAGAAAGCCTATTTCAAAGCTACCTATTATCAAGTCAGAAAGTCGTGGTTTGTGGTACAGATTGTCAACAGTTTCACTTGGATCGTCCAAAAGACCACTGTGTGTGTGTGTGTGTGAGAGAGAGAGAGAGAGAGGGAGAGGGGTGAAGGAGGGGGGGGGGGGGGAGTGTTACAAATGTGGTTTTGTGCACTTGACATGTTATTAATAGAGACTCCGAGTTCCAATTCGGAAATAGGCTCAAATTTTGTCCAATTCGGAAATAGACTCCCCGTCCACTGGACTCTATACATAATGGGCTCAAATTTCGGCCAATAGTTTGAGCAAGCTTTGATTTACGGGTCAAAACAATATAACGATTTTCCAATTGGGTCATCAGAAACCACCCTCATCCAATTTTCAACAAGAGATGAATTCATTAAAAAAGCCCAATAAAAAAAAAAAGTCACACAGATGGGCTGAAGGGGCTCCCGTCTATCATAGAGAACTAGCAGCCTTTTGGATTTCATTGAGGAAAACATGTACATCACCATCTCCAACTCCAAGCATCTCTCAACACTTTTACCCAATTTGGAATAAAAAGTTTAATTTGATACAGATCATTTTGTAACTAACACGATAAGCAGTTTAATGTTTCCGCATGGATCTCTTTGAATGTCAGATGAAAGTTGTCGGTCAGAGTGTTTTTTTCACAGTATACAAAGGGATAAAATAGTCCTTGGGATGTTTGTTGCTCAATCTAAGGTTTGCTTTTGAGTAAAAAAATTTGATACTTCTTCAATAAATTTGTCTTGATATAGTATATATTTAGGTAGAGAATTGGAGTGTGTTTTTTGGGTCATTTTTACTCAAATATAAATTTGAGTCGGGACTACTCTAGAGATGCGTTTATTAGGAGAGATGAGGTGTACAAAACTTCTTTTGACTAAACAACAGCAGAAGCCAAGCCAAAGAAAAATTACAGCAAAAGAAAGCAAATCCCTGCTAAAACCTTAATCGGGAGTCAAGCAAAAACTGTGGGAATGGATTACAAGCAAAATTTCCCTTTGGAACCACAAAATTAGCCTTTGATTTTTCATGATTTTACTCTTAAGATTGCTGACTGGTACACAGTACTATTCTCTACTTTCATTATCTGAATGCAACCTGAACAGGTTAAGGCGGCTATCTCCAAGCCGGAGGGAATACATAGCTTTCTTGTACTCAGCCCAAGTGAAAGGTCTGTAACGTTGAGGCCTAGTGGGTGCGATCAACTCTGGCGGACATGTAATACTCGCATGGAGAGGTGGAGCCCCGAAGTAGGCCATTGACATTCTACATTTGTTTGAGTTCACCATGGCTCTGTGCCTCACACTAAGAAACCTTCCATTTGTCATGGCCTTCAAATATGTACAAAAGATAAAATATTAGTTCACATAATGTTAATCAATCAACGACCCTTTTTTCAAAGACATCCATAATACCACTCTAATCCTGCAAAGTAAGTGGGAGTTATGTACTCGTGAGATTCAAACTTTTAAGTCAGTCTTAAATACGACATCAATAGTAATAACACAAACACAAACACGAACTACCCCTCCACTCTAATTTGCAAGACCATAGTGAAAAATCGGGTCAATTGCATTTGGGTAGAACTTAGAAGTTGTCTTCTTCTCTCACTAATAGTTTTGGATTATATTTAGATGAAATCATGAAGTTCAGTTCATTTAGAATCATCAAAAATTGAATCTTGGGTGCTTCCAGGAAAAAAATGCCTGTAAGAAGAGTAAACCAGGCCCATAAATTATGTTGTACATGAGTTCATTGTGTTAACTGTTAGAAATCATTGCTCTACATATTTTTAAGGGCAAGTAGTTGTATCCAACTCCAAGTTGCTTTCTAGCACAAAAAGAGAGGACCCAATGGTGACCCAAGTAGACAAATTTCGTCCATGGCCTGTGTCACAGCTCGGGCCCTAAATTTATGTGGTTTCCGTTTTTTTTTTCATTGGATGGGAACTACTGCATAGAGCATGTCCATCCAAAGGCACAAACTGATTATCACATCAATCCAATTGTTCTCTAGTCTACGATTGGCACTGATTCCACCTCAGTTTCAGCTTCAGTTCCTATCAGTCAATTCCACGTTTTTAAGATTGGTTCTGATTACGTACCATGAATGAAAGAGAGAGAGAGTGTAAGATAAGCAAGAGAGAGAGAGAGAGATAAGAGAGAGAGAGAGAGAGAGAGAGAGAGAGAGAGAGCACCTGTAACACGTCACCCACATTTACACAGAAGGCAGTAGGGTCAGGAGAGACAGGGACCCACTCTCCATCATCAACGGAGATTTGAAGGCCACCCACATCGTTGGATCTCAAGATGGTCAAGATCTGAGGGTCAGAATGCTCTCCAAACCCAATCTTATTGTTGTGAGGATGATGATGATGATAACAAAGAGGAGGAAGAGGGTGATGTTGATGTTGAAGATGATGGAATGAGGATGGTGACGTGTCCCTATCCTTGAGAGGTGCATAGTAATTGAGCCTGAGGAGTGAGTCACTATCAACGTCCCTGATGAACCTGCTGAACACTGAGGTGTCTAGGACCCACAACCCTTCTGCCATCAGATCCAAAATTTCACATGCCAGTCCCCTAACTGCTTCTACATAACCACTCAGCGCATTGCTGTCTCACAAACACACAAGAAGAACCAGAAAAAAAAAAACTGTGTTAAAATACAACTAAATAAACACTCCCTCTCTTTCACTCTAAACTCGTTTCTCAACATTTGGTTTGCTTTTGACACATTTTTTCGTCCTTGTTTTTGTCAGATAGATGGAGGAGGATCCACCACCGCCGCCACCACCACCACCACCATTTCTGTGTTTCTCTATACCGGGCAAATACCACTTTTAATCAGCTGATTTGACTGGACATTCTTCATGTACACTGACTTGTCAGTCTGATACTGATATTTTTATTGCATTTTCACGGTTCGCATCATATCTGTGCTTAAAGGACAACTCTCTAACACCGAGGGCAAATAAGAAAGTCTACGGTATCACCACATTATCAAAATTAATAATTTTTTTAAATTAAATTATAACTTATAAAATATATTATCAATCATAAAAGTTAAATTACAACTTCAAAAATTTATGATTGATCATAAATATTTGTAATTATCGATCATAAATTTCACCAAAATAGTTATAACTTTTTTTTTAAAACTATAATTTTACCATAAATAACTATAAATTTTGGGGGCTCAAAAGTGGACAAAATGCTAAACTTGATCCTATTTGTTACAATTTGATAAATTTATGGTTTTTGATTGTAAAATTGATATGTAACATAACATAAAAAAAATTAAAAATTTTCATACGTGTCAATATTTTGTTAAATAAATAAACAATAGAAAGAAAATGTGAAAAATGTTCTTTTTGGGTACCAAAATTCCTCCTTATAAATATCTTTGATGTGAGGCATGGAAGAATCCGACTCATTTCCTTGAGAAAACAAGTACAAGTATATCAATGACAGGCTAGAAAACTGTCCTTGACATGTTCGCTCTATATTATTGGGTACCAGAAGCTATAAGCTTATTTGAGAAAATTATGGACCACATCACATAAGCCTGATTTCAATGACCCATTGTGACCCAAGCAGGCATCTCTATCTCTATCTCTATGTGACACTGGGTTATGATACTAAAGAATAATTTTTTCTAGTCATACAATTTTTTAATTTATGCTTATTTGATTTATTTAAAACCATTAATTCAGAAAATAATACAATAGAGTTAAATATTAAAATACAAAAAAGTGCCATCCTATCATGGGATGAAACAAAAAAAACCACAGTTAAACTCTATATGATCATATGATAATTTGGACAAACTTACCAATTATTTTTAACTGATGTTGTATGGGTTGGTTCTGATGCATGCATTCTGTATAAAAGCCGAAATTCATGGCTTTATATGAAGGTTGAAAGGGTAAGAGATTATAAGTTTGAAACGCCCCACCCACCAAAAAAAAAAAAAAATTATTATTATTAATCCACAATTACTTTGTTATATCCTATGTGGTACATGAAGATGTGAAACTGCGAATGATATAAGCTATAGGTTCAGGGCAGCTCTTACTTTTACCTCAATCTCTTTCTTAAACAGAAGGGTCCTAATAAAGTCACATCTTAGATGTCCTTATGGCAATGAATTAGTTTACATTGTGGTGCAAAAAAACTATATTCTATAAAGGGAATTGACAAAAATGAAGCCCTCACTTGATATTCAAGAATCACCATTCAGGTTGAATACTAGAAAAGAAATCCAACATGGTAGACAGTGCTCATTTCGTCTTCAACCTAGTACTAAATGCATATATCATAGCCATATTCCGAGCAGTCCCACTCCCTTTCTTCTCTCTCTCTCCCAAGAAAAGGCACATTATTAGATAGCGTTAATTAAACAGTTATAAGGATTCAACGGATCCTCGAACTAATGTATATCTTTAAAGATGATAGTCCAACGAAGATATTAACAGAGAAAACGTGGATATAGTGTTTCAGGCACCTTATGAGCTAAACACGAGCTTGTGAAAAAAGCATATACGATGTTTTAGTCAACAACTCTATGAATCATTTATTGCACATACGTGCAATGACCTTGTTTATCCCTAGTAATAAGAAAATAATAATAATAATAGAAACAACATGAGCTAGTTACAAAGTGTGGTTTCCATGAACTGGCATCTTTGATGTGTTGCATATTAAAGAAACTTTTCAAAATGGAAGACCAAAAGATATAAAATTTGCAGCGTCTACAACGCATACACATTCCTACATAACGATATTTACATAAAATTTGCATATGCATATGTTTCTGTATGTATGTATGATGTACGTACGTATGTATGTATGTATGTATGTATGTATGTATGTGTCTGTGTGAGAGAGACAGAGAGAGAGAGAGAAACAGATAGAGCTGAAAGCTGAAAATTGGGAGAGAGAGAGAGAGAGAGAGAGTTGTTTGTACCTGAATTTTGAGGGGTCATTGGAGATAGTGTTGGATCCCTGAAAAATGGAGAGAGGGTTGATATCAAGAAGAAGATATTCAACCTCTCCAACATCTCCATTAAAGCCGATGTTCTTACTGCCATAACCATACGGATTAGGCGGCCCGGCTCGCTGTTTTTCAGAGACTGGCTTTGAAAAAAACTCAAAACATTCATCTTCCATTTGTGTTATAATATCCTTGGGGACACCATGATTGATAACCTTGAAGAAACCGAACTCTTCACAAGCTTTTACAAGAAACTTTGACACCTCTGTTCTTTCCGCCAGGAGGTCAACGATGGGAAGGTCAATGGCCCGGATTTTTGCACTTCGAATTGGGTCTGTACTTGCCACCACCATGTTTTTCTCTATGGCTATACTGTAAGAAGAGCGACAAGAAAACAAAGAGTATAGAGGAGTTTGAAGAGAAAGAGCAAGAGGGATCATTTATTTTGCTGTTAGAGAGAGAGATTCTATGGAAGGGATGAGGGGATAAATAACTCTTGTGGTTTTAGCAAGGAATCGTAGACTTCGGGAGAAGTACAACTAGCAAATTTATGTCACCAAAGAAGTTGACATTTTGCTGTTTATTGACCAAACTTTTTTTCCACCTTCAGTTTTAACTTTATTAATCGCCTACCTTAACGATCTCCTTTCTTGACATAATCTTCTTTTACATCTTATTAAATTATCAAATTTCCCTCAACCCCACTCCTTTCCCCCACAGACAAACAAACGCACAATCCCTATATATACCATACTTCATTTGCAAGTAATATACATTTCCTAGGCTCACCTCTCCACTCCCATACAATTTCAATCCTTCCCACAAAAATAGAAATATTATTTCTCCTATGGTGACGTTAACTGTTTACTATGCTTTTGTTTTGTGTGTTTAAAAAACTAGATCAATGGTTGAGATTTGATGCCTTGTTAGTTAGTTAGCATATTCCAATCACGTGTCGTGGTTGATCCACCTATTAATGAGTTAAGCATAAATTGCAGAGCAAAATACTAAAATTTAGAGATCGAATTATACTTAAAAAAAGTATTTCTCCAAACGCGTGGAATAAGTTTAATCACCCATGTAAGCAGCATTAAGATTAATAACATTAGGGAAACAAATTAGAAGATAATTGACTATTGGGCAAATGCCAATGTCATTGAAAATGGGTGATGTACAATGGGATGTAAAGCAATAATTGAACCAATTGATAATAAAATAATCTTTACATTTCGCAATCAATCACTAAGCAAATGTCTGTGACACTTCAACATTAGGATGTTGAAATTTGAGATTAGGAGCACCTAATATAAATGACCTACAAAATATAGGCATACTCACGGGAATAAATGCTTTGTTGAACCCCCACAAAAATAGAGGCTTTGCATTCCCGTGAAATTCACTGCCCACACTCGGTTCAATGTTAAACGCCAGACTCAAAAAAAGTTTGGCAGAAAAAAAAAATATCTTCCTCCTCTTCCCTTCCCTTCCCTCTGGTCTCAACTTTCTCTCTCCTCTTTTCCAACTCACTTGAACCCTTCACATCACTAGAAACACTCTCATGGCCCTCATCTTAAAATATGGAATCAGGGCAGACTTAGGACCATCGTGGTCCATTGCTTAATGTACACGTGGTCCTTAGAGTACAAACTTTTCTTTAATATTTCCTACGATAGGTATTGATGTGGCCTTAATTAAAGTCATATTGCTCTAGTTGCTTTCTTTCTTTCCTTTTCTCCCAAATTTATTTCTTTGGTTTTCCTATTCTTTTTCCACTCGCTCATTTTATTCCTCCTATCACTGATAACGATCTATCAACAATAAGACCACAATTTTTTGCTCCCACTTTTCAATTTCTCTCTCTAAATGGAAATGGGTGCAATTTTGGTCCAGTGGTTCCGGTTTAAAAAACATGAAAACAATTGGGGAAGGACTTACTAAAGAAAGGAGTTGTTCCTCCCTCGTTTTGCTTCGTTTAGCTAGATTGATAGGAAAGAGAAAAAAAAAATTGTGTTTGTTATTACGATTTTGTGTGGTACTCATAAGTGAGTTGATATGATCACCAATTCATACAGTGTGACAGTATTATATCAAATAAAATAAATCCTGATGATACTAAGATCAAGGACACATAACAGTCAATCCTTTAACCAGCATAGTCAAGACTTGAATCAGCTCGGCCATTAACAAACGAGTTCGGTTTACTTGAAATAAGTCGTCTTACATTGGAGAAAATGACAAAAGATGAATTGCATCATCAAATCTAATCCAGGGAATGAAGAATCAATTTCTAAAATATTAGGCCACCAATTTTTAGAATGTCACATCATACCTACTGAATATTATCTCTAACGATCAAATATTATTTCCCAAATTCTAACCCCCCTTTCGTTACTTGAGACCCACACTACCCTAGTGTATAAATAGGGAAACCCTTGCCACACCTAAACAATTATTGTGCAATTGTATCCTCCAAAAAGTTATGACATTCTTCTTTTCTAAGTAATAGAGTAGATTAACCTAACTCATCAACTTTGGTGAACTATTTATTTTTTTTGTGTTCTGGATACGTTTTTACATTCATACACTCACATTCAACTCACTCACATCACAAGAGAGCTTCTCAACCTCCCCCGTCACTCACTCACATTACTTTTTTACACTGCTGATAAAGGAGAGGGAAATTGAGAGAAGAATTGAATTGCAACCCTTCACTTTGCACGTGAGAACTCTAACCAACCTTGATCGTCCTGCAGCTCTAAATAAATCTTTTCTTGAACATCAGTTAAAAAAAAGGTAGCAGAAACATCTCTCATCAAAGCTCAAGAAGAATTCAGGAGGGTCCTCATTCCTCAAGCAAGACATGCCGCCCTTTGCATGCCCAAAAGTCCTATCACTTGTAGATGCATGTACCAGCGTTCTTAATGTCCAAATCAATGAATAATCTATAGACAGATATGCTAGACATTTACGAGTTATGCTATGTAATTTAAATTTGCAACCTAAATTTACATTCTAATTCAATAAGTATCATTGGACCAATGGTTCTTAATTAAAAAAATTAATGGGACCCACTTATCTAATAGTCCATATTAATTTGATATGCAAATTTGAGTTATATAGTATTTCTCGACATTTAATACTTCTAGTCCACAATAATTGCTTGACACAATTTTATTTATTAATCAATTGATAAATTTAAACCAAAAAATCATTGAGAAAATTCCATTGGCATTCCTTGTAGATTGGTATAGCTTCAATTACACCCCCTCCCTTGCATTATCTAAAACCTCTGGTCAATTTTTCTCTATAAATAGAAAATAACAAAGATTATGATTTTACCAAATTAACATTGATATTTTGCCAATTACCATACTAAATTGCCCTTAAAATCTATGTTATCGCTTTATGCAAATTTAAAAATTGTCATATTCTGGATATGGTAGTGAAAATAATAATTGATGATAGTTTTTGGTGGCTAGATGGTGGTGGTTTTTGGAGCGTATTCCTCAATGCTGGTGTCGCTATCCATATATAGAGGGAAAAGAGGGAGGGTTAGAGTGAAATTGATGGGAATGTCGGTAATATTATCGTTATGTTGAAACATATTTATAAATTAGAATAAGATGCAATGAAATTTAAAACAATAACAAATGTCAACGAAATTATAGTGGTCTAAAGGAGTAGTGGATAATTTTTTTGAAATTATTTGATGAAAAGAATAAGTTATCGGTTTGTCTTTAAGTCGTGACTTGCCGACATTTATAAACAACTATAGGTACACTTAAATAAAAGAGCGATTAGACATCCCAATTACCATGAAATGGAATTTTTCCATTCAGGTTTTTGAAGGGTATGAAAGGCATTCGCCTCCTATAAAGAAACCCCCCTATAATAGTGGAACATTGCCCATCAGAGTAGTTAAAACCTACACTAATTAAATATTTACTAAATTGAGAAAATATCGAATAATGAAGATCAGCTTGGTTTGTATTTTACTCAGAAGAAATTCCCAAGGGTCGTTCATTAGTCAAGCTCAGAACCTATATCAAACGCAATTAATATTACCTGTAGGGTCATCTCTGGTACAAGTTAATAACACTATTACAACAGTTATTCCAATAATTCTCAGGATGTGTGACCTATATAGCATAAAGGGGACAGTGATTAAGCACATCTGATATCTAACTACCAACTACTTGGGTTGCGGATGTAGACCCTTAAGGATGGACACACTCAAATATATTTTTTGTTGTATGACTTGACGAATTTAAAGATCAATTATTGAACTTGATCGAGATTAAATAAAGCTTTAAAATTTTTAAGATTACTATACCATATTGTTTACAAGAATTTCTGGTAATGACAACTAAGTTTTATCCGCATCTAAAAATGAAAATGAGTTGGGAGGGTATTCTATTGAAAAAGGTATGTTCGTAGAAATGTTGCGCGCCCTTTTCATTTTTTTTTTTAATGCATTACAACATATCATATCCCAATATTGTAATCAATTGACAAACGAGAAGTAGAGTACGAAACACCCAAAGAGAATCAATAGAAAATCTGCACAAAGAGAGAAAACACCCAAAGAGGGAATGCATCGCCTTTAGCAAAACTTGATACCATGACATGACCTCCTATTTGGGATGATCACAGGCAGCTCAAACCAAAGTTATGCCTTGCCATCTTGGTGACTGTACATTATCCAACTATAAGGGATTGGGAGGGAAAATCGTAGGGGTTTCAGATTCAAATCTGTTGCATGTTGTTTTAAAGTCTCGAACATAAAGTATTAAATGGCAGGTATAAACTAATTCATAGCTAGTTGGCCACACGAAATTATATGATTTGAAGGGCCTTGTGACAAGTTCAGGATCTTATTCAATTAATGATGTGTTTGTATGGGGAAAGTTGGGTGGGGGACAGTCCAATTATTGAAGAAAGGGTATGCTTTGCCTATGTATTTATGACATGCAAGATCACAAGTTATACACTTAAAATTATGAAACTTTGTCATGTAGATAATAACCCGTTGATATTAAAGATCTAAATTCATTCAAAGCATGAGCTGTTAGTACATACGAAAAGCCATCAATTGTATACAAATCAATCTTTGCAAAACTATTTTGTATTAGGATCTACCAGTAATAGGTTTTTTTTATATATATAAATATATAATTGGAGGTGTGGTAGCATGAGTTCTCAAATCTTGTCGGGATGAAATTAACCTATGAAGAAAATAGAAATGGACGGATCACAAAGACTTCAAGTTAGTCATTTGTGTGGTTGACAGTCGCAATAAATCGTTTTCAATTAGTTAAGCCGACAGCTGATGAGAGAGACCGAAACCCTACAT